TAGGGAATGGTGTGGATGGGTGAATGGAAAGTGTGCACGTACATATGTACATTTGTACAAACATACACAAACATAACAACACACACATGTGCGCAGGCAAGTGCACATATGCATATGCACACGCACATGCACATGCACATGCACACACGCACATGAAACAAACACACACACACACACACACACACACACACACACACACACACACACACACACACACACACACACACACACACACTTTTTTTGTAATTGGCTCATATCATGGTCATTTGGTATAACATTTTTTAATGAAATGGAAAATGACTGTCATTATTACTATCTTTATATGCAAGCACATTAAAACTGTGGCTCCACTTACTGGTGTTGTGCATTTTACATATGGCATCTGGTTAATACTCCATCACCATCATGATACAACAATGGGGGTATAGCACTGGTGAGGTTCTTACACATGTTTAAGACTATTAAACAGCTGTTCTTTTAACAACTGCATATTCCTACCTACCCTATCCTCCCTGTTAACCAGTTATTAACTGATAAGGGTGATAACTAAATACAGATTCTGACACAGATCATTGTAATACTGAGAGAACATCAATCACTGCATTCTGAAAAAGAACTGATGAAGACAAAAAAAAAAGCCTGAAATTTCTTTCTCTTGCTATTATCATTTCTTTCATGTAAATCTTTCATGCAAAGACGTAACTGGTTAGCTTTTCCCAAAGAGCGAGTGAGAGAGAGAGAGAGAGAGAGAGAGAGAGAGAGAGAGAGAGAGAGAGAGAGAGAGAGAGAGAGAGAGAGAGAGAGAGAGACAGAGAGACACAGAGAGAGAGAGAGAGAGAGAGAGACAGAGAGAGAGAGAGAGAGAGAGAGACCGAGACAGAGAGAGAAAGAGAGACAGAGACAGAGAGAGAAAGAGAGACAGAGAATGAGAGAGAAAGACAGAGAGAGAGTGAGAGAAAGCCAATGCTCTGAAGTAGGTTACCATATAACATATTAATACATAAAAGCGGCTAATATTTACCCTCCACTTGTTGATCCTTTTGCATTCCTGAATATAAAAGAAAAGTATCTTAGGCACACATAATATACAGCACAGGATTCATCATCAGGTTGATAACTGAAACTGAAATCACAATGAAACTATTTTCTTTTTATATATGTACAGCACATACACCTCATATGATACATTCAGGACATAATTCTTCCTTTTCTTGTGGAGCAAATATCTGAACGAGCCAATGCACTTAAAGAGGATAGGCATGGACATCTGTGGAAGCACATCTTGAAATGTGTGTGTGTGTGTGTGTGTGTGTGTGTGTGTGTGTGTGTGTGTGTGTGTGTGTGTGTGTGTGTGTGTGTGTGTGTGTTTCATGTAAGGTGAATTATTTTTGCAACAATCTTAATTTCAAGACAAAGACAGGGAAAAGTTTTATTTGTCCAAAATCAGATTTGTGGCAAAATTTTAAGCCTCATATCATAAGTTCTACCAAAACAAATTTCTTATTATATATATATACACACTGAGCTGAAAATTGCAGTCTATGGGTAGCAATCCCATAACAAGATCATGTTATTTATCTGGTAAAGTTGATGTTCGTGAGTTTCCTGGTATATCTTCTTCACATCATTATAATTCTAGTATGGTGATATACAATGACTAATGGAATGGCCTAAAGAAATTTCACAAGAATTAGATAATGGTATCCAGTAAGGCACTTCACAATCCTAATGTTCTTTATATACTTTTGAAGAACTTGATTGTTATAGTGCATTCAATCTAAATATATAATAAACCCTGCCCTCTCCCAGAGTGTAATCACAAGGCAGGCAGTGCTGCCTTGTGGATGGCACAAGTACATGCCATCTACTGTAATTTTAGTTTATTAATTGTGTTTACAAGGGTTTGTAGTGGTGCCATAGAGTGGCATGATTGGCTGATATGTGACAACTATCAGTCAGTGGGGAGTAACTAAAAACTATGGGTCTTTGATAAAGGAAACTATCTTGCCTGTACTAGTTTTTACTGCCATCTAAGAAGCCATACTTTATTTCTGTTCTGATTTTGTAGTTTCTGTGCACACATAACCAATTGGAGAGCTTCTTATCCCCTGTATTTTCTTACAAAAAACACATAAAGGAATGTGTTCATGACTACATAAAAGAATATTTGTATAAAAAAATGACTGCAGAATTATGGGTATCAAAGAATTCTTCCACTGAATGGACTTCATCAATGAAATCTGTAAAGGCTCCAAAGATTAGTGCCATGACTTTATGAGTTTTAGATTTTATGAGTGAAAATATGCAACTCACAGTGATCTTATGAAACTCTTAATACATACAAGCTAAAGTGAAGTAGCCATGTGTTCAAGTACATTCCAAGTAGGTTCATAAGCAGTTAAAGTAGCAGTTAAAGTATTTTTTGCATAGTCATGCTGTTATTACAGGTCCATTAACCCACTAACAATATGAAGTTCCAGTGCCATGCCAAACCAGACAT